TGTGAGGTGGTCTTAGTTCTCCCCACTTGAGTTGGTGATAAGTCAGGAGGTGTTGGCATCACCACTAGCTTAGTTTTCAGCCTGCCCTATGGAGTACACTTCATCCAACATTATAACAGGAACTCTCAAGGCAAAGAAGTCTGCCTAATTGCTGAACTGCCTGATATCCTTGAAGCCCTGGAGGAGCCTCTGGGGGCAGCCATGCCACTGCTTCTAAATGGGAAGAATAGAACATTACTCAAGGAAATATTATTTTTTATTTTTCTTCATGAGATAAGAGAAAAAAGAAGAGTGTTGAGGGTTGTGGAATAGAAGAAGTATGTGCAACGAGATACACTAATTGCATTATTCAGGGCAGGTTTACTCTGCAGTTGTATTTATTACTGCAGGAAATTTTTTCTAAACATTCAAAGTCTATATTGTAGGATCAAAAACAAGGATTTTTAAAATTATTATCATGAAAGTGTTGAGAATAGGCTTGCACTTATTATGGTTTTAAAAGTACAAACTGCACTCTGATTTGGGATGAAATTAATGGGCTCAGACACTCATGGACTCTTGAAAACACACTCAAGTGTTCATATACTTTAAAAAAGAAATGTAGTGCTAATACTGAGAGTGCACCACTAGACGGTTCAATCAAAACATGGGCCTGGTGAGACAGTCAGGGCTTAGGGCTTGGCCTACAGAGAGAGAGGAAGCTCTTCACAGGATCTATTTGGGAACCTGGCAGAAAAAGAAAGATTTGGAAACAGCCTAAGTGCCCATGAGCAGAGTGGATTAAAAAACTGTGGTACATCTACACAATGGAATACTATGCAGCTATAAAAAAGAAGGGACTTTTACCATTTGCAACAGCATGGATGGAACTGGAGAGCATTATGCTAAGCGAAATAAGCCAGTCGGGGAAAGACAAATATTACATGATCTCACTTATATGTGGGATATAATGATCAACATAATTTGATGAACAAGAATAGATCCAGAGCCCTAGCTGGTTTGGCTCAGTGGATGAAGCGTCGGCCTGCGGACTGAAGGGTCCCAGGTTCGATTCCGGTCAAGGGCATGTACCTGGGTTGCGGGCACATCCCCAGTAGGAGGTGTGCAGGAGGCAGCTGATCGATGTTTCTCTCTCATCAATGTTTCTAACTCTCTCTCTCTCCCTTCCTCTCTGCAAAAAATCAATAAAATATATTTTAAAAAAAAGAGAGAAGGGAGAGCAGCCCTCTGCCGCCTCCGAGACTGCATCGAGGGTTGCCTTTTTTAAAAAAAGAATATTTTATTTTATTTTTTAGAGAGGAAGAGGAAAGGAGAGGAAGAGAGAAAGAGAAACATCGATATAAGAGCAAAACATACATCGGCTGCCTCCTGCACACCCCCTACCCGGGATTAAGCTCACAACCAGGGCACGTGCCCTTGACTGGAAGTGGAACCAGCAGCCTCCTGGTGAACGGGAGGGCACCCAGCCCACGGAGCCACACGGCCAGGGCTGAGGGTGGCCTTTTAACATACTCACTCACTCGGGTGCCAGAAATACCCAGGCTGGGCTTGCCCAGTAATATGTGCTCTGAGCCCAGCTAAGTCCCAGCTGAAAAGCAGATGCCCTCTCCGGGGCCGTCAGAAGGGTCACTGGTCCTTCAGTCTGAGGACCAAGTGCTTTAATGGTTGAAACCCAGCGCTGCCGCCTCCCTTCTCTGGCTGGTCAGCCTTCCAGGTGGCGCCAGGAGGTGGGGATGTGCAGGAGGCACCAGGGCCCGGGGGGGGGGGGGGTCTGTAGGTTTCAGGTGTCCATGAGAAACATCACAAGCACCAGTGCACAGAGTGAACTAAAGTCTTCTCCCCACCGCTGTCCTCGGCCCTCTCCTCAGACATAGGCCCTCCTTACAGTGTTTTGTCCCTTCCTGGTTAATGGGTCGCCTTTTATGGTCCACATAGGTCACCCACACATTAACAGGATGGACAGTCAGCTCCCCTGGGCTGCGCAGGAGCCTCAAGGAGAGGTGAGAGTTCACTTCCTGCTCACACGAGGGCTCTGCAGGGACATCTCAGAACATGCAGCTCATGTAAGTGACCTGGAGGGCCTCCCGGCCGTTTTCTCATTCAAACTCCCAGAGTCACATGTGGCCTTAAGAAAAGCGGCTCCTGTGTCTGCCCCGCTGTGGCCGCCTGCACCGTGGGCGCCGACAGCCCTCACCCGGAGGGCACGGCCCTGTGTTGTGACGAAATGTGGGCATCACTTCCGTGAGCTCCCCGCCAGGCTGTGTGATTGCCGCCTGACAGGTGTCCTGTGGAAGGCTGTGCTCTTCATAGTTTAACCCGGTAATTACTTAGCGTTTATAGGTCATGCCCTGATTGGCACGTACTTGACAAACACTGGCTAACTTGTCCTCTAAAACATCCGTGCCCTCACCCTGGCCGGTTTGGCTCAGTAGTTAGAGCATCGGCACATGGAGTGCAGGGTCGAGGGTTTGATTCCCAGTCACGGGCATGTACCTCGGTTGCGGTTGAATCCCCGGCCCTGGTCGGGGTGCTTTCGGGAGGTCACCAATCGATGTGTCTCTCACATCGATGTTTCTCTCTCCCCCTCTCCTCCCTTCCCTCTCTAAAAAAACCCCAAACAAACAAAACAAAAAAGAACAGCACACCAATGGAAAAAGTATCCTCGGGTGAAGATTAAATAAACAAACAGAAAACCAGCCAGACCCTTACTCAAGTGAGGTGGGGCCAGAGCACGCCCGCAGGAAGCTGTCAGCATGTCCCGAGTGCGGCAGCGACGCGGAACACTCACTCGCAGGACAGCGTCCACACAGCGGGAGCTCGCACCCATGCCCTCCTCTGCCTCCTCCCTCCTCCATCTGACAGCCTCATGATGGCCCACAGGCTGTTCCAGGGGCACAGGAAGCGGGAGGATGCGGCGAGTGCCGGTCTATCATCATCCAAAAGCCCAGCTACGCATGGGGATGCCCCGGATGCCGCTCCG